TCTCGTAGTTTTATAAATATATTAGGTAGTTTGTCTCCTTTTGCTAATAAAATATTATAAACGGTAGATGTGCAATATTTTATGATTTAGTTCGTTAATAGAGTAATTATCTCTTTTTTTTTGTGTAATTGTGTTCGGAAGTATTCATCAAATTAAACATCAAATTAACATTAAGAAAACTACTATATTATTTTTTAGAGGTTAACACATTTAAATTACCAAGCAAATAATAGATAAACATCAAATAAATATAGATAAACATCAAATTAACACTAAAAAAACTATTTTTTTTTTTTAAAAAAAAATTAATACACTTAAATTAGCAAGTAAATAATAGAAAAAATTGCAATTTGAGTCATCCAAAATTAGAAGGTAAAATAACAGAAGGGAACAAATAATGAAGAAATAAAGAAAGAAGACGAGAAATGGAGGCGGAAGAAGTGCAGAAGAAAAAAGGCGCGAGAGAAGGAAAAATAAAAAACAATTCTTATATTTATGTAATTAAAAACTTGATATTATATTTATGTCCTTACAATAATTTATGGTAGTGTAAGGAGTAATTATCTCATTATAAAGGAATTTTATCATGGTTAATAAACGTTAGATAACATGAGTTATTCAATCATATCGTATCCTATCGTATCCTATCAGCGTAAGTAAATGAAGCCCTTATATTGTAGTGATTCAGTTGGTAATATAAATTTGTAAAAGGTGTTGGACAGAGTAGAAGACAAAAGAACAATGAGTACAAGTTTAGTGGCCATGCAAAGTACAAGTTTTAGGGTTAGCCAATTTGGTGATGAAGTGCCTCACAAGTTGGCAAAATTGATATAAATAAATGATTAAAAAATGTCCTTAAAATTGATACTGGGACGTAAATCACGTAATGTATCACATTTGTGTAAGTCACAAGTAGCAAAGTCCATAAGAAATTTCAACATCCACTAGTTACATTTTTATACAAATCAAAAGAATGAAGGAAGAAAAAAAAGGGGGGAGGGAACAAATTGGTATATACTCGAAAGAACCTCGCGAAAATCCAAAAAAGGATGCAAAAAAATGAATACAAACTCGACTGGCGACGAAACTTACAATCCTAGGGCACCCCTTTTCCAGTAAAACTCCAAAAGAAGATACAAAAAGAAAAAAGAGAAAAATGATTAAAAAGAATTAGCCGATTAGTATTGACATAAAAATGGCACAAGATTCATTACTACCTCAAAGGAATGAACTCCAAACTCGTAGAATTCGACTCAGTTGAGAGAGAAGGCTTCACGTACTTGCCAATGACCCTCTGACGAGTTCTTTTCCTAATCCTTTCGATTTTATCTTTGCTCTGTTGCCTTTTCTTTTCTTTCTCTTTATTTCTCATATTCCTCTCCTTCTCATATATCCCTTGCCAGAATATCTCCCCGGTCAACGGCCAAAGCCACCGCCTTTTGGGTCGGTCCGAATCAAACTCCTCGGCTAAATCCTCGTCCATTGTCTTGAGAGTGGTGAGCTGGAACCATTTGACCCACATTTGACCTTTTCGCCCTTTGAGGTCGTGTTGTTCTTGCATGACACCTGTCTGTGGGTCCACGTACACCATCTTTCTTGCACTATGATACGCCCAAACGTTCACAAGCAGCTCAAGCAAACGAGAGTAACAATACTTGTCCTGATAAAATATTGTTTGAGAAGTAAATAAGAAAAATATGGGGAAAAAGAGTGTTCTGTAATTAACCAAAAAAAAAAACATTTCTTGAGGTTTGATTATGCATAATCCCCCTTATATATAATTTCATAATTTATTGAGCCTATGTGGCAGACTCGCATGCTTCGAGATCTTATGTGGCAAAATTTCATGTTTCATTATTTGGCTTGGATAGAGTTTAATTTATTTTCAATACAAAAATAATTAGGTCTGGATTATCCATAAATATGTTGATTATTTACGATCATTTTACATGTATTAATTACATTTTAATATCATTTATCTTATTATAACTATTGAATTGTAAATGTATTTCAAAAGTTAAAAAATGTTGTATTTTTTATCAGTGGACATATATAATATATCAAATTAATCATCTTGATGAGCTTCGATTTGACATCCATATTGTACGTATAAAAATAAATAAATTACATTAATATTTATAACAATAACAAATTTTTTTGTTAATATTAATTCGAAAAATAAAATTATTTATCTATTAATATATTTATGCTTCACGTAGTTATATGTTATAATTTAGAAAAATTATTATAATATAATACATGTATGTCGCATAAGTAAAAGTGTTCATTCTAAAATATCTAACAATATATATTTTTCGTAAAAAAGTATTTACATTTTAAGACACTTTCTCATTATATTTAAAATTTAAAAATAAATTTTTTAACTAGCACCCGTGTAATGCACGGATTTTGTATTAATATAATATGTTTGAAAATGTATGTGTAATATAGAGTTCTTTTGTAATGATACCCAAAAAAAAAAGCAAGAAAAGCCATTATTTATACCTTGAATAAACTGAGATAACATCGACCATTTTTGTGGTGTTCGTCGTAGAATTTTGTGTCGAGTGCATCTACAAACATTCTGAAAATGGAAAAAGATATCTCATTATGAATTGTACTATATTAAATAAAGTTCAAGCAAAGGCATAAAGAGTAATGGAGGAAAGAAGAATCAGAAGTTGAAAAAACCTTGAAAACATAACAAACTCTGTGAAGGATTTGGTCGGTAAAACCCACGAATGCATGATAGACCAAGTGCCTCCATCAGAAGGCATTGATGGAAGAGAACTCAAGTTATGATTTATGCCGTACATTTGCTTTAGAGTCTCAGCAAACACAAACCTAAACACATGCACACATACCACAAAAAAAAAGTAAAATAATGTCAAGAATCTTTTCGGGATAGAATTTACAAAATAAAACAGTCATTGTAAATTAATCACAGTTCTTTTTTTTTTTTTCTTTCTTCAACTTGTCCTGAATAAAATCCTAGCCAAAAGAATGGAAATTTGAAAGTGAGAAAACTTACTGGCAATTTCCAGCATTAATAGCATCACAAAATGACCAGAAATCCTGTTTCAATGGGTTTCTTTGATCCATGTCCAAACGAGCCCAGAAGTACAACGTGTCACCATGCCTTTGTGCTTCGATAGCATGCAATAACGATCTTTCGGCACTTTTAGACAAAGATTTCTGGTAAATTAATCATGTCAGACCAACACATTTTCTTCAAGTAAAATCATATTTAACAACAAATAATATTTAACAAAAACCTGATATTCTATTGCTATTTCTACATCTACACAACACCATATCACTCTTAAGAATATTGTTGGTTTTTTTTTT